CTTCCTTCCTTCCTTCCTTCCTTCCTTCCTTCCTTCACCTGCTGTTTTAGTCAGCTTTGTGTCACTGTGACCAAAAGACCTGACAGGAACAACTTGCAGGAGGAAAAGTTTATTTTGGTCATGATTGCAATGATTCAGTTTGCCAACTCCATAGTTTGGGGCCTGAGATGAGGTAGGACATGATGGTGGAAGAAAGCAGCTCAGGAAATGACAACAGGAAGCAGAGGGAGAGTGACCTCCACTTACCAGGGACACACCCCCAGTGACCCGCCTCCTCCAGCTACACCCTACCTGCCCACAGTTACCACCCAGTTAATCCATATCAGTAGATTTATACCCCACTTAGGTTCCAGCTCTCATAATCTAATTGTTTCATTTCTGTAAAGTCTTAAATTGTATCACACATAACTTTGGGGGAGCATCATTTAGATATTAGGTATCTCCCCAAAGCCCATGTATGAAGGAATGCAAGAACATTCAGAGGTGAAATGATTGCGTTATGAGAGCCTTAGCCAATCAGTGAGTTAATCCCTGATGGGGATGAGCTGAGTGGTAACTGAAGACAGGTAGGTGTGGCTGGAGGAGGTGGGCACTGGGGGTGTGCCTTAGGGGTTTATATTTTATATCTGGTGAGTAGAATCTCTCTTTTTGCTTCCTGATGTGATGTTTTGAGCTACATGATGTTCTGCTCTACCTCGAGCCCTGAGGAATGGAGCTGGCTGTCCATGGACTGAGATCTCAGAAACCTTGAGTCCCTCAAATAAACTTTCCCCCTTTAAAATTGTTCTTGTCAGGTCCTTTGATCACAGCAGTGAAAAAGCTGACTAAAACAGACTGTAACACCTGCTTACGTTAACCATGGAGACTCTTTCCAGATTCTAATTTGTCTGATATATAGTGGAGTGAGTTCTTTTTCCTTGTCTGACCCTCTTAACCTGCTCCTCTGGTATGCAGTGCCATGTTGTTTGTTTACTTGAGTCTGCAACATCTGGAGCAAGTGGGGTAACCTGCTGGGTCTGTGTGCCACTTTTGTGATGAAATCCAACTTTTTACTCTTCGGAGATTTCCTTAAATGTCCCTTACCAAGGTTCATCTTCCTATTCAAGTATATTTTCTCCTAAAATAAAGAGGGAAACAAGGACCAATATAGCAATTTCTGAAAGGGAGGGAAGGAGAGAGAGAATGAGAGTGAGAGAGATTAAAAATCCTAGTGGTTTGGGTCCCTGTTTTGACCCATGTGCTAATAGTATAGGGAGGAGGATGTGAAGGAACATCAATGGATCTTTTGTGTGCCTCTTTCCTATGAATTGGAGTTCACAAAAAAATCTCTTATTCATTTTCCTCCATGTTAAGTGCCTGTGTCTTCCTTCCAGGTTATATATAAATTCTTCTATGTTAGTATAATTTTCCTACTTTCTTTACTTTTTCTTTTATCCCAGAGAGTTTAAAATGTCAACTTATCCCAATGCCTTGAGGAATGATATTTTTTTAAGCTCTTAAAAGACATGGGTGAGGGGCTGGAGTTGTAGTTCTATGGTAGGTGCTTGACTCACATGTGTGAGGCACTGGGTTGGATCCTCAGCAACACATAAAATTAAAAAAAAAATAAAGATATTGTGTCCATCTATAATTAAAAAAATTTTTTTTAAAGAGAGAGTGAGAGAGGAGAGAGAGAATTTTTAATATTTATTTTTTAGTTCTCGGAGGACACAACATCTTTGTTGGTCCGTGGTGCTGAGGATCGAATCCGGGCCGCACGCATGCCAGGCAAGCGCACTACCGCTTGAGCCACATCCCCAGCCCAATAATTTAAAAATTTTTAAAAAAAGAAGGCATAGGTGAGGGACATGGGTCTCCATGGAGCTTAATACTCACTAGGTTCTTATATATTGCACCAAACAATCTTATAATATAGGCAGAATTTAGGTATATATTGAGAAACTTACTTATTCAGTGATACTGTCTTCATTGTTATTCTTATCTATGTTCCAAAAGTGGGAGCTCAGATTCTCTGATGAAATCTGGTATTTGCAGGGCTGGAATTGGGAATGGAGATGAAAGTGTGACCCCCCCTGAAGACACAGATTATGGAGTGGAAGAAGAAAAGAAAGATAACGTTGAGGATCCACACTGGGATTAAGTCATACTCAGTGTGGGTGAGTGGTAAAATTCGAGTAAGAGATAGAACTTTGGGAGACCAAGAAGGAGTGTCAGGCTCCCAACTAGAGAACAGGAGGCAAAATTTGGATAGAAACTTCAAAACACTGGGTCCACTACAAGACGGAGGAGAGAGATGTCAAGGACACTTGGACTTTTTTTTCCCCATCTAACTTCTATGTTCTAATAAATAATCCCAATTTTGTCTCTCTCCTTTTATTGATTAGGTAGTATTCTCTTGGTGATTATAGAAGACAGCAACTATTTTGCATATTTGAGAATCAAGGAAGATGCCCCTACTACTGTAATGGAATTAGAGGGCACATGGTCAGAGATAAAGACAGAAAGGGACTTTGGGAAGCTTCTATGCACCCTCAAATTGGAGGGCTAAAGAGAGAAGCTGGAGCCTTCAGGGCAAACAGGAGTTCTGTGGGCCTTCTCGGAGGGAACTGGCCCATGCAGCGGAGTCCACAGAGCAAAGGCCACCTGTGCAGAGACTCTGCCTGAAGCCGACCGGGGAGATCCACTGGTTTCTCTTCCTGCTGCTTTTCTGTCTTCTGCGTTTTCTACCCAAGGGCAGGTGTTAAGGGAGCCTCAAAATATGGCATCCAGGGATCACCACCTGCATAGTTCAGAGTAGAGCATGGGAAGGCTGGGAAAAATATAAGGAGTAGACCTACGAAGAATGCATTCTGCTTCATTTTCTAGGGAAAGAAAAATCTCAAATAACTCAATTGTTGATGGAAGGATTTAAGAAGATGAGAATAGGCAAATCCTGTGGAACTATAAATTATGCAAAGTAAGAATAAAATAGAGGTGAACCAGAAGCCCATTAGTTTTATTCTTAAGTTCTGCTTTCCTTTCTGATATTCTAGATGTAGGATGGAAGTTCTCACTGAAATAGCCTTTGTTTTCCTATCACCATTTGTTATTAGAGCTATGATAAGCAAGCTTCTCCATCTGTTCCTCTTTCAGTTTAAAGCCATTGAATTTGCTTTTAAAAGCACCTTGGACAATGTAAGTAATGTTATTTTCTCTGTAAACATCATAACCTAGAAGATTAGTTGGATATGATCAGTATGGAGTCTGTCATTCAGAGCTTGACAAATCATATTCTGCAAAATTACTTCTTGTGAATAACTGTTAGATCTTTTTTTAAGGAGATACTAAAGTCAAAACTTTGGTTATTTTAAATTCAACTCCATGATTTGTAATTTCTGTAGACGAGCCAGATTTGATTTTGTCGTCTGCAAGTCTAAAGTTTATAATGCATGTAATTTGATTTTCTTTCTCTAGAGATATTTTATCTATCTGATATGAGTCTTTATCAGCTTAAGCAAAGTAAAAATTTCCATAAGTGTAGAATCCCTTACTTTTAAAGACACTGTTAGAAACTGTTGCTAAATTTAAAAGAAATTTGTAGGATGAATGTTAGACTTTGAGTATGAATGCTGGAAATGTTTTAACTTCTAAATTTTGCTTTTTATCATACTAGTTTGCCATTCTTTTGTCCTCTTCTGACATTTTATTAATATTTCCTAAGTTTAATTCTTGAAAACTCATCAGTCATTTTTGGATATTCAAATTAATATTTAAAAAATATCTTTGTTTTATAATTTTGATAAATGGATAATTTCAATAATTGAAACTAAACATTGGCATTAATGATCTCTCAATCTGTTAATGCTTTACACTTCTCACATTTTGCTTTTCTACAGATTATATTAGTAGCCCTATGGAATGGTTCAGAAGCTTCACTTTTTCAAAGATGAGGACACTTCAGGTCAGAGGAGATGAATGATAAGAGTAATGATGGGAGTGTGGCTCTGACCAGGTCTGCTGAAGAGGGTAACCTATATAGAGAGTGTTCAGCAGCACGCTGGATGTACTAGTTCAGGAAATGCTTGATTAGTTTTGTACACTGCCCTATATCTGACATTATCTGATTCTATGGAAACCCTAATCATCAGAAAATTGCTTGGCCTCTCAGGATTCTTTTATAGCTTTAGTTGTCAATTAAATAACAGCTTTTAAAGCAGCAAATAAACCCACTGACAGTAAGCCTGTCCTGCTAATTATAAGGATACTATGGTTGTCATTCATGAAGAAGTTTTAAACATTTATGAAATAAGTGAATGCATAGACATTGAGTAAGTTGTCTACATTTTTTTTTAAAGAGAGAGTGAGAGAGGAGAGAGAGAGAGAGAATTTTTAATATTTATTTTTTAGTTCTCGGCGGACACAACATCTTTGTTGGTATGTGGTGCTGAGGATCGAACCCAGGCCGCACGCATGGGAGGCGAGCACGCTACCGCTTGAGCCACATCCCCAGCCCAGTAGTCTACATTTTAAATGGTAACTTACACTTAAAAGCCAACACTATCCTGTTTCTTTATAACTCTTTGGCAGAAGGACTACTGAATTCTTAGAAATGTTCTCTAGTTAAGATGGTCTCTATAGAGGCAAAATATTTGTCTCCTCTGTCATAGTTTTTGTAAAAAAAAAAAAAAAATCCCCTTTCTTCTCCTTCAACTCCCAGATTTACATACATTTTCTTGTTAGTACGATCTATATACATGTAATGATATATAATTCCATGCAAGGCACCATGCATGAGATAACTAAGAACAGGGCCTCTTCCCTTCCTTTAGGGATTCAGATTGATCCGACATGAAACTCTATAGCTTTGTCATAATTGATTTAAAGGATTGCTTTCACATCCATCATCTCATTAATTTTTCAACATGAATGATTTAGAAGGTGGAAGTGGGCTAGAGGTCATCTTCCATGGCTATTGTTTTCTGCCACCAAGCAAGGCTGTGGTATGACTCTTCACACAGCAAGGTTCTGGTGCAGAGTCACAGGGACTGGAGCATGATAAGAGGAAATTTTCTAAGTTCAGAACTTAAATGAGCAATTGATTAAAAAAAAAAAACTCTAGGCCCTTTACTTAAAAAAGATAATATGTACTTAAATACACTCACTCATATGTGAAATGTTTTATGTTAAGTTTACTTTATTGTTATAATTGGCTTCTCAGAATTACTGCAAACCTCCTTTGGAAAATTTGGATTCCAATTGACAAGCCCCTTCCCCTGACCTTGTGTAACCTTAGTGAGGGTAGGAAGTTTTGTTGATGGCTTTAGCATTCCACTCTTTCCCCATATCCACATCCATTTCCGCATGACTCAGCAGTTACTCTCAGAGAAGAAGTGGAGGGCTTGATTCTGCGTTTGCTTTCCAGAATAAAGTGGAGATGGAGATATGCCACTTCTGGGCCTCAGCCTCAGGAGACCTTGAGAATTTTCCCCTTTTCTTATGTCTGTTTTCACCGTGAGAACTTGGCTGGGTTAGTGTAATTAATGGAAGGTGGAGATAAGTGAAGACCATTGTAGGTCCATGAAACCACCAACTTCCCCCTAGATATATGTGAGTTAAGGTTAGTAGCGCTCCTCAGCTGACCCTCAGTGATGCCTAGATTCGAGAATACTCAATACTGGTGCTTGTATGCTACTGTTTCCAAGGCTGGTATACAGCATTGTAATGGCAATAGGTAATTGAGGCATTGGATTTCCAAATCAAAATGCTATAACTTCTCCTGTTCAAATTGCTGACAGTGGCTAAAAAGTAGGCCAATTGGAGACTTTTTAAACCTTGATTTGAGGAAGGCAAACTGAGGGGGACATTTTATTTTTTGGAATCATTTATTCCACTTGAAGCACTCAGATGAAATAGTTGAATAGTTTCTGATGCCTGCATCCAAGGATACTGTGGTTTCTGCCCATTTGATGCTATAAGTCATATATACTGTTCCAATTAGTTTATATTTTTAAAAAAATGAGCCAGGGCCAGTTTCTATTTATGGTTCTAATTTTTAATTTTTTCATCATACTATAGTGATACATGCATACCCATGTTTATAGCAGCACAATTCACAATAGCCAAATTATGGGACCAGCCTACATGTTCACCAGTGGATTAATGAATAAAGATGTGCTATATATACTCAATGGAGTTCTTTCAGCCATAAATTAAAAATGAAATTATATAATTTGCAGGAAAATGAATGGAACTTGAGAATATCATGTTAAATGAAATAAGCCAAGCTTACAAAGTCTAATGTCATATGTTTTCTCTCATATGTGGAAGCTAAGGAGGAAAAAGGAAAAAACAGGTAGGGGATATCATGAAAATGGAAGGGAGATCAGAAACTAGGGGCATGGGCAAGGGAAGTGAAAGGGGAAATATTGGGGAACAATATTGGCCAAATTATGTGGTTTTATTGTGTGCATGTATGAATATGTAAAAACAAATCCCACCATTATGTACAACTATAATGTGCCAATAAAAATATGGAAAATAAAATAAAACTATTCCAAATCTCAGTGGCTTAAAATAATCATTTTATTCATGATATTTTGAATCAGAAATTTGAGGAAAGTTGAGCCAATTTATTTATTTATTTGGATTTTTTTCTTGCAGTAGCAGTCAGATGCTGGATATCAGAATGCTTCATAGAATGCTTCATACCATTCTTATGGTGGCTCATATAACTGGTAACCGTGCTTGCTGGTGGCTAAAAACTCAACTGGGCTGTCCAGAAGAATGCCTACCTTTGGCCTTCATATTCTGTCTCAGATTAATTTGCATATTCAATGTATTTGGCTCCCCCTAACACCTCTCCCCCATGCATGTGGATGTCCCAGGAGAATCAGGCTTGGCTCTTCTCTACGGGAAATTCAACTAGTTTAGAAATGTTTTAGAAAGTACATTATTCTACCCTCTGAGTTCAAATTTTTTTATCCCTCCACTTGCAAAATATTCAGTGTCCCTCCCCAAATCTTGTCTACTAGGGTCCTAATCTAAGTCCTGGGGCAAGGATCTTATCTTTAAATCAGGTCCAGGTATGAGTAAGGCTCCTTGTTCCTTCTTTGATAAAACCTAGGGAACTTAAGAAGCAAGTTTTCTGTCCCTGACACAGCCAATACAAAATGTTGACTAGTAATAGGAACACTGTTAACTTTAAAAGGAGGGTGTGGGAGGCCCACCGCAACCAGAAGCCATCTGAAGCCCAGAGGGGCACATTCTTCAATTTGACTATGGCCTGGTCTGCTTCATAAAAGTTACAATACAATGAAAGCAATTGATTAGGAGTTTATTTCAAGGTGAAGAGTAGAAGTAGTATTTTTAGGAATTATAATCCTTTCACTCATTTTCTTCCTTATAAAAATTATATCAACTTTCTGGGGAAAATGTTAAAAAAAGATCTAGATTGCACTAATATTGGTTTATTTGGTTTGATTTTAGTGAGGTAGGAAGAATGTAGACTGTTTGTCAAAGTAGCAATATACAGGTCATCTTTGACACCCATTTAATTTTGATTTCTATTTTTATAGGAATAAATTCTAAAGACTCTGAAATACAAAGAAAAAAAAGAGTAAAACTGAGTATTCTTTCTTATTGTATTCGTTGACATAGGAAGATATTTTGTCTCAGGAAGCATAAAGTGTGTCTGGGAGTCTTTTTTTGGGGGTTGCATTCATGATTTTATTTCCTTTTTCCTCAAATAAATGAAGGTATTTTTCTAGAAATTTTTATCATTGGTGCTTCTTATGTTGATAAGAAAAGAACTATCAATCTTTTTTCCATCCTCAATAGAAGTAATTTTTTGACACACTTTTATGGTATTTCGAGTGCCTGCAAACCTTCTGAAAAATTGACTCCATTTCATCATTTTCAATTTCAGTCTATTGAAATGCTTCCTCCAGCACTGGGAAGTTTTCACCGCTTTCCAACTCTAATCTCTTCCAACATGGCAAGTTGACCAGTGGAATATGGAGTTGTCCAACAGCAGCCTCCATAGCAGTGACTGCAGACTTTCCAATTAAATTATTTATGTTGTTCCTAAGTGCCCGGATAGCTGCCAGCTGAGCCAAGGCATAAATGGACTCCACCCCTTCAGACTGTTCTGCAAATATGATTTACCTTTCTCATAAAAAAACATGCAGCTTCTGCCCAAATTTCCAATTAGCACTTCAAGACCAATCATCTTGTAGGCCAGGGAACATCTGTGCAGAGGATACCTTTGTGTTCTGCCTCCTGTCCTACTCAAATCCACTGAAAGAGGCTGTGATTTGAAAACCCTGCTCAGAGGAAAAGGCCTACTTGCAAGGCAGAAGAAAGTTCTTCTATGAGTGCTGGATGACTGTGATTTCAGGACAAAAAAAGAAACCTTGTGACACATAACTTTCTCCATTAAAGCAGAAAAAATTTAATGTTGTCAAGTATGACAAGTACAACATCTGTAGAGAGTCCCAAGAAATTCTGTGCAAAGGCTTTTGCCTGAGAACGAAGCTTCATTCTTTTGAGCTTATCGGTCACAACCTCAGTTTCCAAAACAGGTTTTAAAAGGCATTCTTTATGGACACGTTAGACAGAAAATAAATTCAGGTACTGGCACTGTTGAGAGATACTGGTAGTTGCATCCAGTTAATGTTGAAAAAAATGATAAGATGTATTATAACTGAAACATTGGAAGTCATACAATAATTTTAGACAGGATAATGGATAGAAACAGTATTTCATATTTTTTTTGGAATTATGTCATTTCTAGGTCGCATGGTATCATAAACTGAAATTTATATATCAAAGTCATAATTCCTCCTACATCAAAATGTGACTGTATTTGGAGACAGGGTCTTTAGAGAGGTAATTAAATTAAAATGAGGTTATGATGGTGAGTCCTAATCTGGTGTGACTGGTGTCCTCCTTATTAGGACACAGAAATGTGCAGAGAAAAGACCATGTGAAGACATACAGAGAAGATGGCCGCTCTATAATCCAAGGAAGGAGGAGTTAGTAAAAAAAAAAAAAAAAAAAAAAAGCAACCCTATCAAAACTGACACCTTAATCTTGAACTTTCAGCTTCCAGAATTGTGAGAAAAATGTCTCTGTTTAAGCCACTCAGTCTGTGGTACCTTATTATGGCACTCCTAGCATATGAATGCACATGGATTTTCTATGACTTTACCGACCTTGTGAGACTTCTTTGCTTGTCATTGCAATGAGCCTTCTTGGAGGATGCTTTAAAATTAGGTATGTTGGTCAGTGTCAATTTAAGTTTTGGTAAAGTCAGTCAACAAACTAAGTCTGCTCCTTCTGAAAAATATCCTTGATTCTTACTGTCTTTATACGACAATCGCTGAATGTGTTTCTCTAGTGGTAAGAACTTCAAGACTGACCCTGACATACTATGGCTTTTGTGTCCTAGCTTGTTTGGTAAGAAAGCAGAGCTTAAAGGTAAGCTTTAATCCATTGTCTGTTTGCAACTGAAGGTAATCCTGATGAAAACTCGGAAGCATTTTCCTAATTATAACAGCTGGATATGTTTTCGCTAATTCTTATCAGTGGCAAATTATTCTAGGCCTTATTGCCTAATGAATATTTTAATTACTTGATTAATTACTCAGTTTCATTACTTACTGAATGTCCAGGCCCACTGGCAGGGAGAAGAAACAAAAGAGAAAATGGAGAGGACAGAGTTGCTTCCCGTATCTCTTCGGATCATGTTCCATAGGTAAGAACTACTCCCTTGGCCAGCCTAAAGCAGACCTCAATCCTACATAATGGAAGGTGGTACATAAATTTTGGTGGCAAACTGGCTATGGCTATTTTTTGTGTGCTAATCGCTGTTGTAAGAACTTCCATATCCTATGCCATGTAATTTTCATAACAGCCTATTAATTTAACTTCTGTTAGTATTTTTAGTATAGGGTTTTGATCTAGAATGTTCCCACAAAAGCTCATGTGTTAGGCAATACAGCAATGTTCAGAGGTGAAAAGATTGAATTATAAGAGCTCTGAGCTCATTGGTGCATTTTAATCACTTGATAGATTAATAATTGAAATGGACTACTGGGTGGTTACTGTGGGCAGTTAGGGCGTGGCTAGAGAAAATCCATCACCAGGGACATGGGCCCTATGGACTGTATCTGTCCCTAGACCCTTCCATTTGTTTTGCTGCTTCCCACCTGCCATGACCTGAGCTGCTTTCCTCTACCACATCTTTCTGCCATGACGTTCTACCTCACTCAGGCCCAGAGTAATGGAGTTGGCCGACCATTAACTGAAACCTCTGAAATCATGAGCCAAAACAAACTTTTCTTCCTCGAAGCTGTTCTTGTCAGGTATTTGGGTCACAAGGACAAAAAGCTGACTCATGCAAAAGATGTGAAAATTAAAATAGAAAAATTAAACAATATGGTTATACTCACAAAGCAGGATTTGAACCATGCTTATGCAATTTGCTCAGATTCCTTGTTCCTAACCATTATACTACACCATTGCTGGGTGTCTACCAAGGAAGTGATAAACTTATGAAATAGTGAAATTAGACTAGAGTTCATGACTGTTTAGACAAGACAGGGACACGTATTTTCTCAGCAAAACTCAGCTAATGTTATTTTTGTCTTATTCCTGTCCAACTAAAATATATCTAATTTTTAAGACTTGGATATTTACCATATTTTACATAAATAGTTTCTTCTCATTATTGTGCAGGATTATTTTTCAACTATTTATCTTCTCTAGCACTCTGTAGCATGTATCTGTTCTTTTATACATTAATTAATTATTAATCCATGTGCCATTTTTTAAGCATTTATTAAGTTCCAGGGACTATGTTAGGGCATAATAAAGTAATTTGAATATAGCATGAATTGTGCCTCCAAGTTTCAGTCTAAAGGAGTATGTGTGTCTGGATTATATAATTGAATAGCAAAGATTATTATGGTCTGAATTTTGGTTCACCAGTGAATTTTGGGATTATAATTTGTATCATTCTTCTCATTTGTGCCAAGTATGGGGGTAGATACAATAGGATCTTGAAGAAGTCTGTTTTTATAAACATATAACTTTTATCTTTTAAAATAACTCCACATACATCTTGAGCGTACATGTATTTTATAATAATATTTCAATATTAGTTTGAAAATACACCAATAAAGAATAAGGTACTTCATCCACACAAAGGCAATTTGACTTGAATAGCCTGGTCAACATTCCTGTACCATATGCTTCTAGGACAGGTTAAATTTTTTCAGATTTGAGTTAAAATGGAATTTGATTATGGCCATTGTTGTATTGGTTCAGAAAGTGTGGGGGTGGAGGGAGGGAGGGAGGGAGGCAGGGAGAGGCGGGGAGAGGATGCCCAACCAATTCCAAACTCACTTGAAAATTTCACATTTGCTAACCTTTGACTGAGTGCCAAATACCTGACATTGTACCTAACAATCAATGCTACCATACAATAATTATTTTGTGAGAAGACTAATATAAAATACAGCACATTTAAGAAGCACACACCCAGAGCTGGTGGTGAAAACAGCTGTTCAATTATCCCTCTGAATCCAAAACCTCAAAATGCATCGGGATCAGAGTTAGGAGACTTTTAATAATTAGTTTGTCACACAGAAACATGGAAAGTTAGTTAGCTGAGCTGTAGCTGCAACAGTCAATTCCAAAGGTGAGAAAAACTCCATTAACCACTAGTTGCATTAAGTTCAGAATAATGTACCTGATTTTCCCCCCTACTGGGCATGATGGAGCCATGGCAACTATCTCAACACCCCAGTTCTAATTCTCTGGGTTTTAGGCTTTCTTTGAGGAATTAAGTAACTGACAATCACTTTTAAATGGACGTCTTTGTTGATAAAAATGGTTTGTTTTATTTTGATTTGTGTAATTTTAGAGAGGTGAGCTTTTATCCTTACACACCTTAATATTAAGACAAATGAATATTTTGTTCAAATTAATTTCATGATTAATTAATTTTTATCTTAAATTTTCTATTAGTAGTTTTTCTTATTGATACTCTTAGTAGACTAAGGTCATTATTGTAGTTGTTATTCTGAGGGGGGAAAATGTCTTCCATAGTGGTGCACACTGTATGGATTTTTACCATAATTGTGCATTCATATTTTGGCTCTTCATTCCCTGGCAAAAAATGTGCCATAGATTTTTCTCTATAGAAATGAAAATCAATTGTTTTGACCAATAAAATTTTCCTTCTGGGGCTGGGTTTGCGGCTCAGTGGTAGAGTGCTTGCCTAGCATGTGTGAGGCACTTGGTTCAATTCTTAGCACCACATAAAAATAAATAAAGGTTGGGGTGGGGATTGTGGCTCAGTAGTAGAGCACTCACCTAGCACAGGCACGACCCGGGTTCGATTCTCAGCACCACATAAAAATAAAGGCATTGTGTTGTGTCCATCTACAAAAAAAGATTCTCTCTCTCTAATAAATAAATAAATAAATAAATAAATAAATAAATAAATAAATAAATGTCCACCGACAACTAATAAAAAATATATTTAAAAAATTTTCTTTTTACAGGAGACCCTTGGGAAAATCCTCTACATCCAATCTGAGGCCCCATATCACCACCAGGTAACAAAATTTTATTTTCCTAAGAAGATAAAATGAAAAGATTGTGACTCTTGCTTTTTCTTAGTCAAGATGTACTCAGCAGCCTCTAGGATGACCCTGGTGAAACTCTTGCCCACATTCACAGACTTTTGTAACCCCATGAGTGTGGGCTAGATCGATGACCTGATTGGTGTCTCAAAAATGTCATAGGGCAATAAATGGAATAGTCAATCCTATGGTTAGGTTACAAGAAGATAGCAACTGGCATCTAAATTTTTAAACATTTTTCAATCAATATACAATAGAATAAATAATGTCCTTTAATTGCAGGCCATACATTTCTGTACAGAAAGGGCCCACTCCATGCTTAGCAGAATGAATAAAAAGACTATCTATTAGGCCTATCTGTAAGTAAAAGCAGAACACTAGCACTAGAGAGAGAATTGTAACAGCTTCCAGACAAGACAAAAATAACAGGTCACATATAATCAGAATTTATAATAGCATCAAGCTTCTCAGTAGAAACATGGGCAGTTAGAAGACAATAAGAAATGCTTCACAGGCCTGAGGAGAATGGATCTTAACTGGAGTTACATTCCCAGGCAAACTCTAAATCAAATCTAAGGGAAATACCAACAAATTCATTGCCTATAACCTCTTAGTATGTACGGGCAGATAGGACAGTAACTGAGAAAGCATGAGATCCAGGACACAGAGGGGCCCCTAGTATAGAGAGAGGTGACAAGGAAGAGAAGCCCGTTATGCCTACTATACATACTGTGCAGCTGGCCAAGGAGGACCCAGTCCATACTGGAGCAGGTGTCAAGAGCTCATTGAGATATCCCCAAGGGGAAAAAATAGATAAGTAGTTTACATGTTTGACTACTTTGGGATTCATTTTATTCTATTTGTTTTTTAAATTTTCTTTTTCTTTTTTCTTTTTTTTGGTGGAAGAATACCTGGGTAATTTATAAAGAAGAGAGATTCTAGAGCTCAGGGTTCTGGAGCTTGGGAAATCCAAGAGCATGGCACTAGAATCTGGTAAGGGCCTTTGAGAGGTGAGAGGAATCACATAGTGAGACCAAGCAAGCATGCCATTTCCTCATTTTATAAAGCCACTAGTGCCTTTTTGGGCCCCTATCCTTATGACCTCATCTAATCATAACATCCCTCAAGGTCCTTGACTTTAAATACCATTAACATATGACTTTGACAATTAAGTTTCCAGAACATGCATGTTCAAAGCCTTGTGGGTTATGTCTGGAAGCTCAGAGTTTAAGAATACAACAATGATTAGTATAGAAAACATGGAACAAACAAGACCATTGTCTCTCTTCAGAAGAAGTTAGGTAACGTCTATAACTCCTAATTCAAGAAATGGCAAAACAGATACATTATTTTGTTATGATGGTGAATTTTATGTGTTAGCTTTCCTAGGTTAGGAATACACAGACAGTTGGTAAAACATCATTTCCGAGTGGGTCTATGAGGATTTCTGGAAGAGAGTAGCATTGGAATCGGTGGCTTCAATAAAGAAGCTTCACCCTCTCCAAGATAGGCAGACATCACCCAGTCCTTCCAGGGCTTAAGTAAAAGGGGGATTTCTCTCCTGTGCCCAAGCTGGACATCCATCTTCTATAGTCCTTGGATATCAGAGCAGAAGCATCTCCTGTCTCTGACTCCAGGATTTATGCCAGTGGCAGCCCATTCCCTGTACTCCCACCCCCAGGTGGCATACTGTGAGACAGCCTGCATAGCCATGAGAATCACTTCCCTTAATAAATATCCTCACTATTTGATTCTGTTCCTCTGGTGAATGCTAATTAACATAGTAAGTATTGGTAGAAATGGCTAAAGAGCTTAAAGGTTACAAGAAAAGGGATCACTTTTTTTTCCTTCTTTCTTTCTTTCTTTCTTTCTTTCTTTCTTTCTTTCTTTCTTTCTTTCTTTCTTTCTTTCTTTCTTTCTTTCTTTCAACCTAGTCATACTCTTTGACTCTTAGAATTGTGCACTCATAAAAACATTTAACAGGGCCTGGTGTGGTGGCACACGCCTGTAATCCCAGCAGCTCGGGAGGCAGAGGCAGGAGGATCACAAGTTCAGAGCTGGCCTCAGTAATTTTGCGAGGCGCTAAGCAACTCAGTGAGATCCTATCTCTAATAAAATACAAAATAGGGCTAGGGATATGGCTCATCGGTCAAGTGCCCCTGAGTTCAATCTCTGGTATCTCCCCCCTCAAAAATATTTAACAGTAAACTCTGAGGATGCATTCTCTAAAACTTTGAAATGCCTTATTCTGTTATTCCTCCTCCCTGTTGATAGGGGCCAGACAGATGAGAGTGGTGGGAACATGAGGTTAAGGGAATATTTCTCTAAAATGGGCCCACTGTGCTGACCCCCACATAATTTCTTTTCCAAGAAGCTATTTGCCTGCAGTCCTGCCTGGCCTCAGGGAACAGGAGATGTCACATTCCTCAGCAAACCACCTGTTCACTGTAGCAGACATACAGGCCTGAAATAGTGACCATAAGAGGAACCATGTTATCCTGAAGGGACTTGTGTATGCCTTTTCACAGACCACATCCCAAATCTCAGGGAGATAAGGAAAATTCCTCTTAAGCATAAAATCTGTAAGAATTTATGTTAAAAATCCAATTAGTACCAGTCACCGTGAGCCAAGGTGACCTAGAGTTGTCATGGCTACTGTCCTGTAGGGACCTGGGCAGGATTCTGGAGACGTCCCTGTGACCCCCAATCAAACTGCAGTGCAGGAGAAGCACATTGTTCCTCTCTAAGAGGACCCACTCTCTCCCTTGAGAGTGTCCCCTTCCCCTTTTCCTATCCCATTCAATAAACTCATTCCTGTTACTCTGAGCAACATGTCTGAAATCTTTCTGACTTGGTTGCAAGAATCGGGGTTTGAAGAGAGATATCTTCTTGCTGCCTCAGTTTCCCAGAAGGACCCAGTCGTGTAACACTGTGCACTCCTCCCCTTCATAACCTGGAGACCCTCAGGCTTTTACATTTTCTCTATCAAATCAATGATTTAAAAACCCCAGAATTTTCCATTATCTGGTTCCTCTCTCTTGCTCCTCTTCCCTTCCTGTGCCTCTCTTTCTCCTTCCCACACTGTATTAGGATGGCTCCTAGGGAAAGGGGATTACATAAACACGACCTTCTATCTTTTCCTTTTCTCTCACTTGAATTGTACATGCAGCCTCTGGCAGGTACTCCATAGGAGATGGGGTCATTGGCAGGTCTTGCTAATGATTTTCTCTCTTCTCCATTTTTGTAGGTTTGAAAACAATAGATCTCCCATTTAGTCGGTATCAGCACCTTGGGAGTTTTTCCTAACTGTGTTCCATCTCAGCCTAGTCTTCTACCCTGGAAATTAAATTGTCTCTCTGCTCAGTTAGCCTTTTTAGTGAGATTTCATCCCATTAAGATGTGTGAAGGCATACTTGCCTGTCATTGATTTCTTCATGAGTTCCGGATAGCCAGGCTGTTAAACAAACACTGCCTGCTGAGTGTCTTTTTCAAATGCACACCCCCTCCCTACCCCAGCAGAGGGGAAGTCCACAAACTCCCATGAAGGTCATTATCACAGCAGTGCTGGCTGACCACCAGGATGCAGACAGGGGATGTAGGTAGAAGCTTTTGTTCTTAAATTGCTTTTCCTTTTCTGGGTTCCAGAATACTAAAGGTAATCTAGTTCTTCGGTCAATCTCAGGAAGGGAATTAGTAGGTAGGTCACTTCTGTACCTTCCAGTACCCCACTAAACACAACATGTAACACTAAACACAACATCAAAGATAAAACATAAAAGATGGCCTTTACATAGTACTTCACTGTTTGTCAGTGTCTCCAAGTGCAGGATTAGCAAAAAGGCAAATTAAACCTGTGTTTGTAGCATCAGTAAAGATGGTGTTTGCCTCCTCCCCAAATTTATATTTTGAAGCTCAATGTGATAATATTAGGAGGTGGAGCTTTGAGAGGTAATCAATTTTACATAAGGATGGGGCCCCATGATGAAATTAGTGCCCTTATGTGAAGAGCAAGGGATACAAGGACTTTCTTTTCCTAGCATGATCAGGTAAAGAAAAGGCAATTTTCTACAAGCCAGGAAGAAAGTCCTCACCCAAAACCAAATCTACTGGTCCCTAGATCTTAGACTTTCCTGCCTCCAGAACTGTAAAAGTAAATGTCTGTCTTTTAGCCCAACCACTCTGTGGTGTTTGTTACAACAGCCTGAGCTGGCTGAAACAGGTACAGCCTGAGAAATGGTCAAAGTCTGGCTGTAGTACATTTACCCACTAGTTTGCAATAAGAAAATCAAGAAAAAATACTAATTGCAGTTCAGTTGTCATTGGGGGGCTTTGTAATTTGTATTGGTTTTATTTTTTAGAATATGTGAGTTGGTGGATAGTGGAGTAGAGAGACACCGTAAATTTTTAAGATGATTCATTTGCTACTTACTTAACATACACTGAGCTTCCAACAACCTTAAAAAAATCCTGGATAGTTTAGATAATAAAATAATATAACTATTGTTATTGCTAACATAAGGTTAATAGATAACAAAGCTTATGCCAGAATGCTGTAAACAGACTTGATCAAAATCTCACTACTGCTAAAAGGCAGAGGTGGGACTTAATTCAGAAATCCCTGGAGACCCAGCTCTGTGAAGTCTGAGCTCAAATGCTTTTTCAACTGTGATGAAATCCCATAACCTCAGTTACCTTCAAACGGGACAGAAATAGGTATTCCATAAGTGGTTGGGAAGATTAAATAAGGTAGTGTAGGAACAGTGTCTAGCCCAGGACTGGCACCAAGTGTGGGTTTAATAAATGACAGTTATCATTGTCTCCTGGTTCAGTACAATTTCTATTTTGGCAGCATGTGAATAAGGATCCTCTAGAAGCAATGCAAGGTAGTGTATGCCATTGTATATGAAGCTTATGGTCAGGAATGGAAGTACTTAAAAACACTGGAGTGACTCTGATACTGTTGAAAACTTAGTGTTCTTTCTTGCCTGCTCATTTTATAGACATGATGAAACAACTTGAGCTATTTGTGTATCCTGATTTCACATGGAATTGTTTTAAATACCTGGTTTGTAAAAAGTGTTTGTCTCTGATTTGTTCAGCTGGGATGCAGTGATCAGAGGGAAGCTCTGAGGCCAGCATGGTTGGGTTTCTAGTTTCCTTTACTTTCCAGTTGTGATGGACACATTATTGAAGCGGTCTGTGCTTGAGCTTTCATGCTCATCAAGTGAGGATAAGACCAGTAGCTACTTACCAAGTACTTAAATGAATTCAATGACTTAAATGAGTATAAATTTTCTTTAAAATGCCTATTACAAAGTAAGGCTCAGTGTTTATTGAGCATCTACTATATGCCAAACTGTATTTTAAGCCTGAAGAATATTATCAATGAGAAAGATAAATAGTGTGAGCAGATAAGCACAAGTTCTAAAACTCTGACGGATGTGATGAAGATTCACTTTGATGTTGCTTGGTCAGAACGGGATAGCACATATTTCCAGTGCCCCTCTGGGTTTTTCCAGTTCATTCAGAAACCTGATAATGTTCCCTTCAGGAAGTGCACAAGCCTTTAATTCTTCCCTTAAGAATAGCTTGCCATAGGGGCTGGGGTTGTAGCTCAGTGGTAGAGCACTTGCTTAGCACATGTGAGGTACTGGGTTCGATCCTCAGCACATTAAAATAAATAAATAAATAAAGATATTGTACCCATCTACAACTAAAAAAATATTAAAAAAAGAAGAAGAGCTTCCCACAAACTGATATTTACAGCTTCTCCACAAGAAGCCTTCTTTATGTGAACCATTATATGGAGGCCAGAATATTTTTAAGTGTATGTTATGAGGCCAAAGATTAGAAAAGTCTAATCCTTGAGTTTAGCTTCAACTTATGGGTATAAGCTACTTACCTATTGAAAAACCAGCCTCTACCTCAAAGCAAAGCCTGTCCAAGGAAGGGACATGACCTTAGTCCTTGGAAAAACCCACAGAGCACTCCTAGGCACATTCCCA